CTTCCTCCAAGGTAGGTAGTGATCTTCCCCACATGTGGATGGCACCCGCGCCCCCCCTCCCGCCCCCAGGACTGAGGGTGCCCCGTCACTTTCACAGCAAAGTCCAAACTCCTGCTAACCAGCTTCCTGACCTTCTCACTTCCACAAGCTCTGGGGCTACAAAGGCTGCTGGGATTCTGACTCTTCTGGGCAACCAGAACGAAGTGGAAATCTTAGCTGTCAGCGAACCCCCTGGCCAGAGGCGAGAGGCCAGCCTCTCTTGAGTGAAGGGCTCAGGCAGAGAGGAGCAGCTGGACGACCCACAGGGTAAAAAAAGAGAAAGGCACTGGGGGCGGGACAGGCAGAGGGTCCGGAGTCTGGGCCAGGTTGGAAACAAAATCAAAAGCAACCATGTAAGAAAAGTATCCGGCATAGATGAGGGGATCAAACCTGGGTCCCCCTTTCCCTCCAGTGAGGCCACACAGTGTATAGAAATGACCTGAGATCAGGGCCAACACTGGCACCCAGCCCGCCAGGCTTTACGGCCACGGGGCAGCCATGGGATCACCCCCTCAGTCAAATGGCACTGTAGGGGGGTGGTGTCTGAGGGTCCTCCCTGCTCCAAACAGCACCCCAGAACTCAGGCCCAGAACGTGGCCTCTGCATTTGTGTCACTGCACCTCTGTCTGCAGTTTCCGCCTCTCTGTCTTCATAGCCCTACCCTACTCCACGTTTGTTTTCAAGGTCAGCCTCCTCCAATCCACTGTTTTAACCAAGGTCTGGTTCCAGATGGACTGGCTGGCCTCTCACCCTCTCCTTCCCACCACAACCGCCACTGCCACCCAATCCCCCCAAGCCCCAGGATATGCTGTCCCCTCTGCCCACCGCCTGCCTGCCCACTTTCTACCAGCCGGCCGCTTCAGAGGCCACCTGCTCTTAGGGGCTTCTTGGACCCCTCTCTACCTCCCCGCAGGCTCCCAGAACCAAGGCAGAGCCACGTTTCCTCTCACCTGGACAGGCCACTGGCCCAGCCCCTCAGCATTGCTGCCCGGCGTCCACGCTGACCACCCAGCACTCCTCACCATGCCACGTCACGCCAACGGACATAGATATGATGTAAGTTTAAGAAACAAGGGCAGGCACACGAGAGGGAAAAAACTTGGAGGTGCTGGCTCCTTGGTGGCCCATCTACTCTGGGACGGGAGAGGCCCCCTGGGTGCATGACCACCATGGGGGGCAGCGGAGGCTGGGACTGGTCTGGACTGGCTGCCCCAGGCTGTGGGGCAGAGGAGGGACTGTGATCACCTGCTGCGTCAGGCTGAGTGGGAGGGAAGCGTGGGCTGGGATGGGGCCAGAACCAGGCCTGAAGTGCTGAACAGAGGGAGATGAGCCACAGGTCCCAACCGCGCTGGGCCCCCCGCCTCCCGCCCAGCGCCTGGGACAGAGGAACAGCTTGTGTCTGCAAATCCAGCCTGAGCTCCCAGGAAGCTGCCTATGTGAGCCCCTACCCTCGGGCAGCCACTGCACTTGACCTCTTCAGAGCATTTCCCCGAAAGGATCCCTCACTTGCCTGGGAGGGATTACTGGTTTCAATTTACAGGCAAGGAGACCCACAGAGGGGCTCCGTGGCCAGTGGAGATGGAGAGCGGCCAAGGACCTAAAGCTCCCGACCCCAGCCTGGCCAGATCCACAGGCCATGGCCCAGGGTTTGTGCTGGCGCCTGGGAAGTGAGCACTCAGAGGGCTGAGCCCCACGGCTTTCTCAGCCAGGAGCCTGGCCTGACCCTGGGTGACCTCTAATCAGAAGCAGGCTGTGTGCTTTTCCTCTTGCTCAGGGGAGGCTCCAAAGGGCCGACCAGCATTAGGAAGAGTCAGGTGACACAGAGGAATCTGATGTACCAAGTGGCTCTGGACTCATTGGCCCTCAGGAGTCATGGAGATCAGAGGCCACGTAGGTGCAAACCACGCTGACACTTAGCACCCGGGACCTGCCCCTATTTTGAGCTCTAACAGTCATTACTGTGGGTGACACACAATCACAACAATTGTGGGCAATTGTCATGACGGACTGAGGGAGACTCAGGAGGAAGGCAGCCTGCCCCGTCACCCCATCACCCAGGCCCCATCTCCACACACAGGCACTAACGCGTGGTCGGTCCACATCCTGGGCACTTGGCCTGTCCTCTTCAGACCTTCCACGCGGCCTTCGGGGACCCTGGCAATGTTGCCACATGTCCTCCTGGGGCATCCAAGAAGTCTGCTGTGTTTTAGATCGATTCACTACCTAGATTTAAAAATTAGGAGATGCACACAAACATCCGAAGGAGAGAAGGGACTTCTTTAACCGACATGCTGGTTGACACAGATTGGGGTTGAGGTCCCCCCCAGTGCATATTCTGGTTCAATATCGATCCCTGGCTTCACGTAAAAATCCAGACCTGGCTTCCCAGGGCCGTTGAGTGGGGTGAGGCACGTGGGCTCAAGGCTCTGCTGCACAATTTGAGGTGCAGATGCTGAAGAATCTCAGTCCCCCTAGAAGTCCTATATTGTCCCCACCCGTGTCATTTCCTCATCTCTGCCTCCCAAGGCTGCCCACTGCACAAAATCCAAACTCCTGCCTTGATCCGGCAGCCTCACTGGGTCTGGCCCCGCCAAGCCCCCCTCGCCCTGGGCTCCTCTCTCCTTGGCTCCCTGAGCTCCAGCAACCTGCCCTTCATTCTGCTTTTCACACGAGCCTGGTCCATGCCTGCCTCGGGGCCTTTGCACACACCTTCTGCATGGCTCGCCCACCCCCCGCCAACCCCTCCTATGGCCGCTCATGCTTGTCGTTTGGTTTCAGCTCATGTGAGGCTTCCTCAAAGAGGCCTTCGGCACCTGCCTGCTTCTGTCTATTCCTCCACCCTATTGCTTTCCTCACCAGCCTCGTCATGTCACAGCTAGGGACCTGGGCTGGAATCCGGACTCCGCCACTTCCCTACGGGTGTGGCTTGTCGCAGGTCCCCTAATGTGACTGGGCTTTGACTTCCTCATCTGTCACCAGGTCATAATATCTCCACCTAAAGCTCCCCGGCTGCTGTGAGGGCCCATGTCAGAACAAGCACATGACCCCCCAGCAGCCACGGTCGCTGTTCCCCGCACCATCATGTCCCCCCAACCCCACTTCTTCGGCCGATGCTGACTTTTGCTATGTAACAGCCTTAGTACAATGATGCTTACAGGCCAAACCAGGACCCGCTATCAACAGGACGTGGCTGTCAAATCGTACTGGCCTTCCCTTCCTGGGCGCCAGCCTTCCCTTCCCCTGGAGTCCTGCTCATGGGAAAGTCACTCTTCAAAGGAACAGAGCACACACAACCTGGCTGCAAGGGGGCTTAGGCCGCTCTGGCCTCGGGGACTTTACAGCCTGCTCAGAGCAGTCGCCCTGTAAATCCCCCTCCTGGATGAAAGCAGGAACCCCCCCCTCCCAACACTCGCTCTCTTCCTCATAAACCTGTTTCTTATAAAACTCGATTTGAGCCCAGGGTCCTCATCTAAGGCAGCCCGACCCCACAGCCCCACAGCTGGGAGGTCTCATAAGGTGCAAACTGAGCCGCCTGCGTGGGCTGCCGGGCAAGTCTGGACAATGCGACAGGAGTGAGGCCAAGAAGCCGCAGGGCACGGCCTTTATGTCCTCCTGGGGACACAGGGACACAGCAGAGCTGGGGATTATCGAGTTCCTCTTGTCTTGGAGGAAACTGCCTAAACAAACACTAAGAATTCTGAGGAGTCCAGTAAAGTAGTTCTGATTAATTACCCTGGGTTTTGTACTTTTTAAACGTTTTCTCTTCCTCAGGAAACGCTTTCAAATAAAAATGATGCCCACGGTCCCCACATGTCACCTCACAGCCTGTCAGCTTCACATACGCTGGGCACTTTGCACCCAGGATTCCACTCCCCCATCCAAAGACCCTGCCAGGTCAACACCGTGTCCCCATTTTGTGGGTGAGGAAGCTGAGTTTCAGAGCCCTTAGAGGGAGCCCCACGGGGCCCCTCCAGCACCTCCTCCTCATCAGGGGTCAGCCATGGGGGAGGGGCTCAGGCCACGGCCACCTGTGGGGCTGTCCTGTCCTCCTTCCCGTCTACTCCCTTGAGCACACAGAACAGCCGGGCCTGAGGACAGCAGCCCGTGTCTCTGCCAGCCACAGCCACAGCCTGCCTCCGACGCTCCGGCCGGACATTGCCATTGTGCTAAGCGAGATATGCCTCTGCCATTGCAAATGCTGCTTGCTCCCCGCACCTGGAGGCCCCTTTCCTCTAAGCATGAGGTCCTTGCTTCTAGCCACTCGGTCCCACCTCACAGCCCTGCTGCTTTGGGCCCAAATTCTGACACCACTGCCTGGCATCAAGGACCTTCACGTGATGGGCTTGGCTGGAGGCCAAGCTCTGTCCCAGCCTGGGCCGCCCCAGGTTACAAGCAGTCGGGCTGGCTGGGAGTCTCCCCAGGTCCCTCGCCCCACCCCAGGCTGCTCCGCCATCCCACCTGGCCTCCCGGAGGTGGCAGGCTTCCCACCACGAGGACCCTCCCCTGGACGGTGACTCAGGGGAACACACAGCAGACAGTCGCGGATGCTGCCAGACTCACAGAGACTGAGAAATTGGCACTCAGCCTGGCCAGGCCTCGAGCCCCCCTTGGGGAAGGGGACCATGGAGAATGGGGCCCCACTCTTCCTGGCCACAGCCAGCCCCTAGCCCAGAAAGGAAAACAGCTTCTCTGGTCACATCTGCCCATGTGCGGCCCCACCTTGTCTCCAAATAAAAACACCAGAAACACCAACAGCCCCGGTGAGTGGGCGGAGGAAAGGGGCTGGGAGGAGTTCCCCTCGCAGAACCAGCACCAGAGCACAAAACAGCCATTCAGCCCAACACCCAGGTTCCCTGCCTTGACCTCGAGGCCCCAGAATCAAGTCAGGGAGAAGGGGGTTTCCAGCGGTCGCCTGTTTCTGTGGGGGTGGGGCGAGCCTGGTCAGCACAGGCAGTACTCACCGTTGGAGCGGTGGATACAGGTGTGCTGGTTGTCGCTGAGGAAAAAGCCACTGTGGCACTGACACTCGTAGCTGCCCATGGCATTGACGCAGATCTGCTGACAGCCACCATTGTTGTCCTGACACTCATCCACATCTGTGAGAAGAGGAAGAGGAGGGGAGGGGAGAAGTCACACCTGGAGCTGGAAGCGAGGATGCCAAACAGTTTCCCCAGAAGTGCCCCCGGGAGCCATCTCACAGCGCTGCTCTGCTGAGGTGCTCCTGGTGGTCCCCAAGGCGGCACTGCACAGACACACTCCCCAACAGTGCCTCGCGAGGCACTCTACACACTAGACAGTTACAACGGGCTGTCACGCTAGCTGACCCTGACTCTCCTGTGTGTTCCGCACTATTTAAGCATCTTACCTGTATATTAACTCTTCTAACCCTCAACAGCAACCCTGTTAGTCAGATCCAGGTAGTGACCCATTTAATAGACCAGGAAACTAAGGTACAGAGAGGCAAAGCCACCTGTCCAAGGTCCCACAGAGGCAGGATTCAAACCTGGTGGTCTGGCTCCCAAGCCTGGGTTCTCACTGATATCACTGGATGCCCCCCCTCCCCCAGGAGACTCTGCAGCCTACTCCGTCTACCCCCAACACACAGAGCCCCGCCAACTAAATTCTATCGTCCTCCCCGCCCCTTTTTCAATCACACCTCAGATTTACAACCAGTAGCACAAGACTTTGCAGCCAGGGAGAGGCTGGAGGACAGGGCCGCTGGCTACCCACCCCCAGGCTTTCTGCCTTGCAAATTGATTTCAAAAGCCCCGAGAATGGGGAGGTTTTTAAAAGGCCCTGACCTCTCTGGCTGCCGAGACTGCGACTGCGGAGGAAGGTGCCAAGCGGTCTTTCCCACTCTCCGGGAGAGACAGACCTTGGGGCCAGACCTTGGGGCCGACACTCATTTTTGACCAGAGACTGCTGGCACAAAGGGTGCTGTTGGCTGAAAAGAGTCTTTATGGAGTTCTGGTCTTGAACAGAACAGCATGTTTCAATTACCAAAGTCATAACCCCCTACACTGTCAGTTTGTTTAATGAAAGAAGGGCTTCTTAAACCTTAATGTGCCATGTCTGTATTGTCATTTTAATAGGCAAATATATGAAACCACAAAGGCACGTAAGCTACTGGCTACTTCCAGCCAATACCCTGACGACCCCCAATACAGAATACACACACTCACTCGTTCACTTTGGCATTGAGCTTTATACATAGGTCTTTTTAACCTAACCATCTTCTACTCCTGGGATCATAAGGCCGTGAAAAGGTAAAGAATCAGGCAGAGTGGCCTGTACTGAACCGGGAGAGGCCTCAGCTCCAGCTCTGTGTCAGCTGTGTTCTCCTCAGGCTTCGGGAAAACAGACCACTTCACCACCCGAGAGACCCCGCGGGAGAGACCCCGCGGCTACCTTTGAGGCCGACTGCGAGGCAGGTCATTATTCTCCAGCAAGCTCAAATGTCAGCGGTGTGGTAGCCAGGAGGGAGGCAGAGCTCTGAACTCTAAAAGCCACCAACAGTTACAGCTGGAATGGCCCATGTGGCTCTTAGCGAGAGGAGCCTGAGAGTGGGGTCCCAGGGGAAGCCGGGAGGGATGACTCTGACGGCCTTTCTCTACGCAACCAAGTCTCAGGGATGGCTTCCTGAAGCCCAGCGCCAGTGCTGCCTTTGCTGGGGGTGCCTCCCCTCCACACCCCAGGGTGTCTGCCTCTGGGGGTCCGTCCCCCGCCATGAACAGCTCGAAGCCAGGCACCATGTCCTACCCATCCTATTCATAACAACACAAGGCTAACATTCCTCAAGTGTTCATGACGTGTCAGCAGTGGGCCCTCATCACCACCCCAGCTCACTCGATTCTTGCAGCAATCGTGGCACAGATGAGGACACTGAGGCACAGAGGGCTGAAGCAAATGGAGCAAAGTCACACAGCTGCTCAGAGTGAAGGCAGGACTCAAGCCCGCTGTCCAACTCCTGGGCACAGGCCTCTGGCCCCTGCCGTGCTGAACCCCAGAAGCGAACGCAAAGCTAGGACCAGCCTGCCATGAGTCACGTTACAAATGTGCCAGTGTACCTGGTCAGTCCTGTCTCTGGCCCAACAAGACCCCCTAGAGGCACCGATGCCCACATGCCGGCACACACATAGGAGATCTGAACGCGGTAGCTCAGGCCAGACCCCCCTTCCAGGTACATCCTTTCTCATTCTTCCCATGGTTCCCAGGTTCTTTGCTCTGAACCTCAGTCTCCCCAGCCCTTGTAAAGGTTCAGTTAGTACAACAAACACAGCAGCTACAGGCCCTCGAATGCTGAACTCATGGTGTGGCAACACTAGTTTGACCCCACCATAAATGGCTCCCCTGGTGCCCCGTTTGTCCTGACCCACTCCTTCCCCTCGCTGGAAGCCAGACCCCAAAGGGCAGCTGGCGTGACACATCTACAAGCCCAGTGAGCTGGCAGAGCAGCTGGGTATAGGGACAGGGCTGTTTACATGAGCAGGGAACAATGACTTGCCAGCACTGATGAATAATGAAACAGATGCAAGGCCATGTAAACATTTCTCTTGCCCACTCCCAAATGTTAAAGCCCCAAGATGCAGCAGGAGGGGAGAAGGGGCTGCCCCCTTTTTTAGTGTGTGTTCCAAACACAGGTCTCCCCTCCACAAGTTGAGCAGAAAATTGTGGTCACAGGATCCCTCGGGGTAGCCTGCGGTCATAACCAACTTCTCTAGGGGCTGGATAGAGGGCCTGAGGCCCACCTCACACCCATGTCCCCAGACCTCTGAAGAGTGATCAGCTGAGTCACTTGGGTCTGTGAGATGGCCGCCCACTTGCCTAGGATAGATTGGGTTCCCTTGAGCCCCTCACCAGGCCCAGCACAGCACTGTGGGAAATACTTCACCTCCTGGCCCTCCGGAGGGCAAAATCTTGCACACTCTGTTCCTTGGTCCCCTAGCACTTGGCACATGCTGCTATGAGAGGTGCCCCAGGGCAAGGAGGGAGCCTACACCTGGGAGTCAGACAGTCTGAATTCTGCCGTTGGCCTGTGGCCGTGGGGGGTGCCCAGGCCTTGTCTGCAGGAGGATCTGCAGACTATGTCCTTGGGGAAACGCCACACAGTCCTCTTTTTTCTCTGCCATGAAACTGACTGTTCCATGCACTGATGGGCCCCCATGTAGGAATCCCACGCCCCCGCCAAGCACCCCCGGAGATGAGCATCAAGTTTGGCTGGGTGGGGCTGGCAGCCTCCCTATCATAAGTAACAGCCTGCCAGGACAGGCTCTGGCACTGTCGTAATAAGTCTGCACAACAGCCCCACACCAGGGGCACTATTCCTAGTGATCCAATTCTCAGATGAGGAAACTGAGGCCTAGAGAGAGGCAGGGACTTGCCCAAGGCTAGAAAACAGGCAGAAGGGGGATCTGAAGCCCACTGAGTCTGGGTCCAAAGCCCTTACTCTGCACTTCCATGATTCTGCTTCTTTGAACAAGGACGCGTCGAGCTCAAGTCACCAATATCCAGTGCCACAGCCCTCTCCTCTCTTTAGTCTCCCTGGTGTCCAGCAGAATTCCTCACCCCTGGCCCCCAGACTAGGCGTACCTTTGTTCACGACTTCCTTCCTCTGCCCTGGACTTCGGGCTTGGTTGCCCTGTCTCTGCTCTGGACTGAGGGCAGACCTGAGCGTCCTTTAGATCCTTGCACCCAGCAGAGGGTCAGGTGGAGCGGGAGCTCAGGTGTCATCAGGAGACACTGAACGGCATACGTGTGCTTACATACACCAGTGACAGGGAACTCACTACCACACAAGGCCAGTCCGCTGGAGCACAGCACTGTTCTGGTTCCTTTTGGGGACACAAAGGGGGCTCATCCCAGGCTCCTCACAGCCTGCCCGCTGTGTGCAGTGAGGGCTCTGAGCAAGCCTGCTTCCAGCCCACGATCCCTGAGCCCCGAGCGGGGCTCTGAGTGGGGTAGGGAAAGGGCAATGCCTCCGAATCCTGCCGGCAGCTCAAGGTCCTTCATCTTTATTTATGGCCACAGCTGAATATTCCCAGAAGGCAGGGAGCGTCTCGGCAAAGGGACTTAGCTACAAAGCAGAGAGGAGGCCCCATGGGTTCTGGGGCGGACTCCCGGAGGCTCCTCTCAGGAAACCCTTTCAATTGGCAACAAAAGAACTGAAGGACGTAGCATGGAGAAAGAACCCCCGAGGGCCCCAGCTCTGTAAGGGTCCTGCCCGGGGCTTCTCATGGGCTGCCCAGAGCAGCCAGGTCACCGCCTGGAAGGCATCTCTGACGGTGACCCTGGTACCGATGGAGCCCCTAAGTCTTCTGGGCCAATGGTAGGGCAGGCAGATGAGGGTGCTGGGAAGGGAGAGGAAGCTGAATTGCGGCCGGTTCCTGACTTGGGGGACCCTCGGCTGGTGGGGCTGGGAGACACCCTCAGAAAGAGATCGTGCCAGTGTGGTTTGTGATAAAAGACAGCTCCTGGCGGGCTCCTGCCCGGCCTGAGGCCAGCACCTGGAGCACAGCGAGTACTCATTCATTCAGGCACAGCTGAGGGAGGGCAGGAGGGGACTGGGGTGCCAAGGAGGACAAAAGCCCCAGCTCTGCTCTGCCCACACCCACCACGCAGGCCTGAGAGCGTCCTGTCTGCGAAGGCCCCACCCTCGGCCCCTTCCATGCCCAAGCAGTCACCAAGGCTGTTGGCTTTCCCTCACCACCTTGCCCATCTGTTTCACCTCCACTCCCGTGGCACAGCCCTGGCTTGGGCTGAGGCCTCTCCCTACAGGCACAGCGGACACGCTTCTCCTGGATACCGGCCTCCAGCCTCTCCCTCCCAATCCCAGGGGCCACTGTGAGGACTCTAGACAGAGCGGGACCTAGTGTTTTGGCATCAAAGATCCAGCCCAAACAGGGTCTCTGGGGTCAGGTGCCCCTGCCTCCCTCTGCAGCGCCCTGCATGAGCACAGGTCAGGATGCTGGGATGGGGACACACAGCCATCAGCTGTGATTCCCGGTCATCTCTGCTCAGTGTGCCCACCACTCATGGACAGCGGCCGCCCCCCCAGGCCTCCCAGCCGCTGAAGGGTCGTGTCTGGGATGGGCCCAAG